ACTGATGTACATGGCAATTTTGGTGAGTTTTCGAGTATGTTTAGGGCTTCAAAAACGCGTGTCTTTGGCACGAATAATAATAATAATCCGAGCAGTTCCAATAGGGTCTTCGCACCCTTTTGGGTGCTCGGACCCTAATAATAATAATAATAATCCGAGCAGTTCCAATAGGGTCTTCGCACCCTTTTGGGTGCTCGGACCCTAATAAGAATCACAAGGGTTTCAATAGGGTCCTTGCACCGGAGTGCTCGGACCCTAAAAATAACTAAGTTTTTGACTATTTTAAGTGCAGCTGTTTTATAAATCTTGATAGTCAGACTAAGTTGCTTTTTGATTTTCTGTTATTTTGGTCCAACTAGTCAATCTGGCGTTATCTGCCTTGTCTACATTATTTTCAGTTGATGCTACGAACTGTTCACTGACCATGTGTTGTATTATTTTTAAAAAACACGTAAATATTGCTAATAATCTGTTTAAAGGGGTGATGAAACTTACAGTGTATTTCGCTGTGAAGCCCAAACAGGTACAGGTTAGCTATTCGGAGTTACATACAGTGTTTGGCAAGGATTCATCTCTATTCCAAACACGCAGACAACATCCCTGTTCTTAGCTGGTGCTCAGACCAAAAAAGAATGATCGGGCTGCAATAGTGCATGCTTGTTAATTCAGATAAAATGATCAAATGTGATCCAGAAACCCCAGTTGCATTAAGCCTACTACTTTCCTCTTTTTTCAACAAGAACAAGGTAAACATTAGAAATATGCTGCTCACTTTACACAGCAGTAAGGTTTGACCAATACTTACCCTGGCCTGATCTGATATTCCGCATTTTCCAGATATTCTGTATTGTTGTCTTTTTCTTGTTGAGCCTAGTTTTTTAAGCAATTCATGATTTAGAAAAGATAATAATTTTAAAAGGCACTACTTTGGCTCTGATGCAGCCGCCTGTCTCAATCTGTAGTCACAACTCTGTTCTCAAACAATGTCCCACCAATACTTACACCACCACGAATAACTTTGAGGCATGGTGTTGAAGGTTGCGCTTTTTAAATTCAAAATATAATATGTATAACATAAATAAATAAATACATTTAATCCTATTTTTACGTCGTATGTTAAAAAAAATTTTTATGCAATAATCACATATGTACGGAGCCCGTCTGGTGACATCGATGAGAAAGAAAAATAACTCGTTCCCACGCATTAGTAAGTCGTGGCCACGAGTTATTAATGCATGGGAATGACATAGTTATCACACGGTGTTTCATCGCAGTAGATCGCAGGATATCGGTGTAGCTCATTCCAAGGTTAAAATAAAATGAAATCAAATCAAAATGCTCCATGTTTCATGTAAGTCCGCCCGTTATCCTAAATCAACAGCTGGTATGACCGCACTGTGAAATTTGCTCCACAGTTTCTCTTGTTTCTTCACATTAGTAATGCGAGGCCACGACTTAACTTTGTCGTTCCCACGCATGAATAACTCGTGGCCATGATTTACTAATGCGTGGGAACGAGTTATTTTTCTTTCTTATCGATGTCACCAGACGGGCTCCATACATATGAGTTATCTTTACCAATAATCAGTACATACATACACAGCAGTTCACCATGACAGTGCGCTTGCATGTATTTTATTGATGAACATTGCCAATAATGGTGTGTTGCACAAAAAGCTGAACCTGATTCAGCTTTTTTAAAGGACAGCCTCCACCTGCGTTGGCAGATGATTAGTTCCATTCGAATAAATGAAAGGGCTATTTTCTTTTCACACAGGGCTACTGTTGGTTGAACACAGCCCATAGTACAGCCTGGTAATTCTGTTTGGCTCTGTTGTTTCTCCATTTGGGGAAAGGACCAATCAGAACCAGGTAATACTGGTTAAAAATAAATAAATAACTAAATAAGATAATTAGATTTATAGAATTTATGCCTTTGACACAGCATGCCTTCGAGTGCGGAGTAATGAAGGCCCAGTCCATCTGTCTCTTTGAAAATCCATCTGTCTGTCACAGACACACTATACCTCAGACACTTGTGATCAGTGTTTTCCAACAATGAAAGGATTTATGTATGCTGAAACACTTGTATTCTTGCTACTGATTGGCCCCAGGACTGCCTGTGTTGTTCATGGAGAATGGCATGTTTACTGTTGTCTTGTTTTAATAATGTTCAGAGGGGATAAAAACTGCTGCAACACTGCAGTCCAATCATACATTTTTCTTAACTATGAGTGCTTCTTTCTCTCTTTGACTCGTTCACTCTCTGATGCGACTTGTCTGAAACTATTTTTCACTGATGAAAGTGCACAGCATTGCCCCTTTCTCTGATGGAGGCCACTGTTTGTTATGATGATGGCATACCACCAGTGGCAAAGTTCACAGAAAAGGAGATGCATTTAATAGTCAGGCAGAGCCAGAGTCTCCCCAAGGATATTCCCATGTGTACATCAGTGTGTGTACAAGTTTGTATGCAAGTGTGTTGCAAGTCAGAGGGGCTTTCGAGTGTGCACGGCCCTTATTAGAGGAGACTATCATCTGCGGGAGCGCATTTTGTTTTTGTTTGTCCTGCCAAGTGCCTGTCACAGAATGACTCATTACAGCCGTTGTGTGGTGTGTTTGAGTGTGTGTATATATATGTGTGATCATGTGAACTCATTCATACTGATGGACCAACAAGATCGATCGAATGGGTTGAAGTGTGAAACCAACTGCACCTTGGGGAGATTGGAGAGAAAAATCGAACCGAAGACTAGCAACAGCGGCACCAATGTAGGAAAATTGAGCTCATTTTACATAACAAGGATGTCAAGTGGCTAAAAATATAGCGATCCAAATAAGACCAAATTAGAATAAAAATGTCAGGCGTTCTTATTAAAACTTCTTTCTATTAAGTATGAACTTCCTTAAAGGATTTCCATCTCAGAGTAAACCATTAAGTATGGTGAGATTTAACGTCTAAAGCACCATTTGGCTTTGGAGGCTATTCTGCTCCAGTGATGGATTTATTCCCAATAGTCTTAACTCTTTTTACCCTGGGTGTTGAAAATACCGGCCTCACGGATCAATTTACTTCTCCCAGATAGGAGTCAGACAAAACTCCAGTCAGCCGAACAGTGGTTTTTACAGTAGGAGTGCATTTGCTAAGACCAGGCTGAACTCCAAATTGTTCTATTACCACAGTGGTGTTTTAAAGTGTGTTTGAAAGTATTGGTCTGTTTGAAATTGTCTCTGCTGGTAACACTTTACAAAACTCAAAAGAGATGTTTGTAGTGAGACAGAGTGGAGTGCAGTATGTAGTACTGATGCTGGCTCTCTCTCACCAGGCGCCTTTGGACCGAACCAGCCCTGACAACGTGTTGTCCGTCCAGTTTGAGCAGTAATACTAGTCATCATTTAAAGTGGCAACGACAAAACAACTGGCTCTGCATGTGCATTTTTCTACATGGCTTTAAAAGAACTAAGTACCAAAAAAACAAATTTCTTCTTTCATGCAATTTCTCACCATAACTCAGCTGGAAATAATGAGAAAATGGTATATATTTGTTGTTTACAGATATACTCAACGACACAGGATCACACTTGCTAAAAATACTGGCTACCTGCAGTTATTTTCTTCAGTTAGAGAGGCTGGAGTTTGGCGAGAGATCCTGGTAAATGCTGGGATCTCAATTCCTGGGCTTCAACTCTAATAGGCACTACACAGCAGGCAACTTGAACAGCACAAGGTGTTGCAGAGAGAGCATCGTGATTTTCAGTTGCACTCCCGAGACCTTTCTCGTGCCATCTCTTCTCTTTTCTGCGTATCCCGTCACTATTCAATAAGTCTACCGCTAAAAAAAAAAACACGTATTAGAATCTAATCGCAAACAGCGTTACAATCACACCGAGCAGTGACTCCGAGGCCATGAAAGCCATCATGTGACTGCTTCTATCACCGGAATGACTTTGACTTCAGCCGGTGTCACAGCTGCAATAATCGGCCTCTGCTCTGAAATGAATCAGAAGTAGTTTTGGAGCGTTCACAGCCGGGCAGAGGGAGAAAAATGAGAGAGAGAAAGAGATGCTTCGTTCCCTGATGTCTACCTCGCTGCTCTATGTTCACAAGCCTTAAATCAGGATTTAGTACTGCAGCGTTAAGTCCTTCCACGTCCATCTGACAAGACTAATCTTGTGCTAATTACAGTGAAAAGAACTCCAATTAGCACCGACACGTGGGATTACATGGAAAATGAGGAGAAATGTTTGTCACCTGTGATCCTGGCACTACATCCCTGGCTGCAGTTATGAATATAATGGTAACACCTCATATGAGCACCTCTGAGTTTGGAGCTTGCCCTCCCAGTATGTAATAATTAGCCTTATAACTGTATATTTGGAAATTATTGATGTAAAAGTGGAGCAGCGGGGACTGTTGAAGTGGAGTAAATGCGAGACAAAAAAGAACTGAGTCTGAGTTTCAGCCTCTCTATCATCTTTAAGTTTGATTAAGTGTGTGTGTGTGTAGCTGAATACAGAATTTGGGTTTCTAAAGCTGTGCTCGACAAAGTACTAAATATATTTTTTTCTCTTTCTTCATGTGCAGCCAAAAGATGGACTTTTCATACCTGTGGGGCTGTGGGCCCTGAAGGCCCGACTCCCACTCAGTGCCTCAACTCCTACAGGAACAGCAATGTCAACGTGACAGTCGGCACCCGAGGGCCCTTCAAAGGCATTCAAATGTGGCGGGTCCCAGAAACTGGCACCTACAGGTAGGACTGTTGCCAGTGTACAAAGCCTCAGAGCACACAAATATCAGACGTAGCCATTTGTACAAGCAATTTTCACTCAACACCCACTCTGGAATAATTTTATCTTTTTCTGAAGGGTCTCACTGTGATGCCAGGCCAGTCATTAGGTACATACACTTGAGCTCATGAGCACCGATACATACGGCTTATAGTACACACTTAACCTATCTGTCTTGTGCATCAGCACTCTGTGCAACTCACATTTTTCGCAACAATGCAGACTGTTCCTCACGCCCACCTGTACTCCTCTGTGCATCAGCAGTGCATCAATCTTCCACAAGCAAACAGAGAAATATCACTATCTGATTCTTGCAGGAGGAAGCAGAGGCTGGAGTAGTGGCAGCTAAATGGCATGATTCACTCCACGCCTGACTCCGAAATCCAAAACCACCTACCTGCATGTCTATGTTGGTGGCCTTTAAGGCTTCCACATACCTCAACAATCAGCCTCAGCACCTTGACCTCACGCTGTGTACTGCTCTAGGATTAATGCTGTAATATCCACAGTCTTTTACAGAGATCAATATTCCTCCTGTGGGCACTCATGACAACATAAGGTGTTTAACTTGGATTTGACTTGGAAGCTTTGAACAGAAACGTCTCAGAGAGCTGCAAGCCTCCCACATCAACGCAAACACAAACAGGCACTAAAGCGCACACATACCGATAAGCTCAGCAGAAACCCTTGAGTCTTAAAATACCTAACTAACAACAGCGTGGACAGCACTGTCTTAACACATGTCAGAGAGTTTTAGAAAACACCTTCTGTCTCCACACAAACTTCACAATTGGTCTTGATAAGGCCTGGCTTAGCTGGCAGAACCTGTAAATGAAGCTGACAGACGGCCACAGAGATGAATATGCGCTCTGCATCTCCCAAAAGTCATTAGGCAAACAGCTGAGGTAGCTTCTACTGAGCACCGGGCTACGTTCTGTCTCTCCCCACCAAGCTTGACCACCAGGGAAGAAAATATCGAAGCGTTCCCAAAAACCAATCAAGTTGTTTTTTTTTTTTTTTTGTTGGCAAGAAAACTGGAGCATTTGAAATTAGTATCTTCTGCTGCAAAGGTGTGTATTTGTGTGTTTGTGGTGTTTGTGTGCCCATGTGTTGCAGTCCATGAAATCTGGTTCTCTGAATGTTTTTCTTTCGCATTAGTGTGCCATGGTAGGTCAAATGCTTTTATTAAAAACACCCAGGGTGCGAGTGTGTTTCCAAATTAATTCTGGCTGTTACTTAATGTTGTGCACTCATGAAATCGCAGGAGGAATGCATGAGGACTCAGCCTCGAGTTACTTCTGATAAACACCTACTGCACTGCCCGGAATATCCAATGAATGCGTCTTTAGTTTTGTGTGAAAGCCTCATAACACCATTTTTTTTGCTATGTTTTCATCTGAACCTGAAGTATTTTTCTGCATGATTTCGATAATTGTATGACTAATTAGTTTTTTTTTGTGTGTGTGTGTGTGTGTGTCCTGTTTGTGTTAAACCTCAGGATCACTGCCTATGGTGCAGCTGGCGGGAGGAGTGTGATGGCCATAAGCGGGTCACATGGTGTCTACATCACAGGAGAGTTCCTGCTGAAGAAGGATGAGCTGCTTTACATCCTGGTGGGACAACAAGGAGAGGACGCGTGCCCCAACGTGAGTCTTTCTTACCAATAATTCACAGAAAGTGGAAGCTAAATTGCGTGGAAGAGTGAGGATTAGCCCAACCCTGACCCTAACTCTCAAAGAAGCAGGGGTTAGGTGACCTATCAAGTGGAACTAATGTTTTTCCTTCAGATTATGACCAAACCTGAACGATCACAGTGTGAGCCCATCCACATCCAAACAGCTGATCCATCTGTATTCTAGTTTACCCTTATGTGGAAGTTATTTGAAAAAAGATTGCATGTTAATAGTAGAAGTTAATGGGACAAGTACCTCAACATATTTCCTTATTAATGTGGAAAAAATGTAACAAAGCTGCTTTATTTCTTATTTGTAGAAATATATGCTACAGCATGTGAGAGCAGACGTATCTTCTGTGTAATGTCAGTGTTATTATGTTGATTAACTAGCAGGTGGAACACTGAAGCCAGTTTAAAAAGTACCTTAGAATGAGCATAAAACAGGAACCAGTGAGAAGAGAAGTCAAAATGTAGCGGGTTGGGCTACATCCTGGTGGGACAACAAGGAGAGGACGCGTGCCCCAATGTGAGTCTTTTTACCAATAATTCACAGTAAATAGTAGTTCAGTTGCATATGAGACTACAGTGTGTCATAAAAGCAAGATAAACTTTAAAAATGAGTGCAAAATGGCGATAAATGCTACCATGAATCAACTTTATGAATGAAGAGTCACAACATTTATTTTTTATGGACACACAAATGGGTCCAGCAATCCTCTAGTATCCCCCATTTGTTTGTATTTCTCAAACAAAGCCAATGTAGGAAGATTAAAGTTGCTTGTAAATTTGACTGAATGATATTATTTTCCACACAAACTGACGAGAGGGGGAAAAAATGACGATCGTTAGTCCTCAGCGTGATCCAAATAGGATGACTAACTGCAGAAAGCCCTCCTTAAGTACACTGAGGGGTCTCTGGGCCTCACTTTGGAAACAAATGCCCTTAATCAGATGGAAGCTTGCAGTGAAATCCCTCTTGTCTCTCTTAAGCTTACTTGTGTCCGTTGTGTTCCTCACTGGCGACAGTGCTTCTCCTCACATTTCACAACACTGAGACGAAAACTCCTTCACCATCCCTCTAGCCACTGGAACCATCCATCACTCACTGTTTAACTTCTAAAAACTGACACACCACTGAGCTAGAACAGGCTAGCTGCTGAACACCTACCAAACCACAGTTATCAAGGATGTGGTCACCAGAATCTGAATCTGTGTGACTGAGCACATAACGACACATGCATTTCCATCCGCACAATATTAGGTTGTAGGATGTATAAGCTTTTTTCTATGTTGAATTACATAGTGCCATTGTCTGTAGATATATTCATGCAATTGTCATTCATTCAACTGTCACATTGAACCCTGGTAATAACATGCAAACTGTGTCTGGATACATTATCTGGAAACTGACATCCAATCCATTGGTCTTTACATTTGCACATGGTATTGAAATGCATTCTCGTTATCTTTATTGTGCCTGCAATATTATATGAACTCAATGTGCATGTAATGTAGGTTTTGGCTGGATGACTTGCCAGAAAGCACATTACATTCCAGACATACAATGTCCCTTTTCTTTCTCCTTACAGAACATATTAAAGCTGCCCTCACAATAGTCGTACTGCTGCATGCAGTATGCATACACACTGCTTCAACATAATATTGTGCCTTAAGCACAGACCATCTATATCTGTCACAGTCTGCAGTGTGATGTAACCTATCTGTGTGCTTTCGTCAACTCGAGCTTGTTACTTGAGCGAGACACTGTGGCATATGTGACATATCCTCCGATGCACAGAGGATAATGGGTCAGAATGGCCAGGGAAGCATGCTGGCTAGCATTTTGCAAAATGAGACCAACTGTGGTAGGACATCTTGGTGTTTTTGGCATAATAAATTTGACATATTATGTATTGTGACATACTAAGTCTGGTTCTGGCATACTATATGGTATGGTAGTGTGGATATTGAAATGCATCCTCGATATAAAAGATGGATGTAGCCTCTAGGTCTGCATTCTTTCTAACAACCAGCAAGCGGAAAATCCTCTGGTTGTAAGAAGTCAAAATGCATAGAAGTGCATGAGAACAACTTCTCCTTTCATTTGTTGCCAAAGCAAATGTTTTCCTAATGAGTGTATGGTCTCATTCACTAGCTTTAAGACTTCATTAGCAAACATGATTTTCATTTTGTGAGTTATGATTTGTATTTAGAATGGTGGGTTACATTGTGATTGACAGGTTGCTACCACATTGACATGTGCAGTGTCCTCAACTTCTCAGTCTAATGTGCCCCCCACCTGAAACGTGGTCAAATGTTAAACTCAAGTCTTTAAAATGGTAGGCCACAGACCAGTGGGATGTCACAGTTGTTATCTTTTACATACAGTCTGTGGTTCTAGATCAGGAGACTCAACGCTGAATGGGTTTATTTTTTTCCAATCTTTAACTAATTTTACTGTTATTATTTATACCTTTTGTCAATCTTGCTTTGGTAAACACAAAGAGGCGATGTTAGGTGAACTTTTTTTTTTTTTTTTTTTTTTTTTTAGGTGAACTGTCAAAACAGACTGATGTTAGTTTTCTTCAAAATGTGGCCACACTTGGCTGAGGTCTGCCCACAATGCCCACATCCAAAGGGGGTCCGGTTGGTCCGATTTTATTTCCGAATTCCATCACGTGTTTACTCTAATGCAGAAGTTGTTTGAATGAAGATCACATGTTCGAGGCAGGTGTCAGTGGGGCAATTAGTTTAACATATTTCCATATTAATGTAGGCGAAATTGTAACACAGCTGCTTTATTTTTTTAATTATAGAAATACAACCCCTATAAATATCAGCCATGCGTTTTATATAGTAAAGAAATATCCTCCACATAATGTCAGTATTACTCTGGTGATGTTCATTAATTAGCTGGTGGGACTCTGAAGCAAACCTAAAAAGACAAGTACCTCAGAATGAGCATAAAACGAGGAGAAGTAAAAATGTACAAGTAAAAAAAAATCATAAAAACTTTGTCATAAAATGTAAATATTGAGCCAAGAGCATTATTCTTGTTTGAAGTGATGCTGATTTAGCAGCACCTCTTGTATCTCAGATGGCTGTGGTCTGACATGAGGCAGCTCAAGTGCCTGTTTCTGCTTCGTGGTTTTGTTTTCTAGAGGCAGAATGTCTGGCTTAGCAAGCAGGGGTTCTCACCACTGTCATCCAGTTATTAGTTTTTAACACAGTGTGTCTTGAAGTGCTCACTACAGACAGCAGAGAGGGACTTGCCTGTTCCAAAGTGAAACTGAAGTCGTTTAAGGTTCCTCTTATTTCCCCCCAGTTCTGACAGCGAGAGACAGCGACTCTCTCCAAAGGGTCGCTCAGAAAGTGATTTGTGCTGTAGAACAGCCTTTCCTCACACCTTGCTTTCCCTTTGGTGCCGGAAATGATGATACCCCCTTGTCTTGAGAAGTACTCACTCTGTCTTTCTGCTTATGCCACGCACACACACACACACACACACACACGCACAGGTTCTCAGGTACACACACCTCCGTTCTGTTGTTCTCTTTCCCTCTTATACACAAACTCAGCTTTAAAGCAAGAAGCTGCAATGACAGAACAGGCTGAGAGGGAGAAACAGCGAGGAAGACTCTCCCAGAACATTTGAATGCGCTGCCTTTCTACCCCCTCTACCTGTCAATCACAGCCACTAAAGTCCCGCCCCCTCCTGCTTTCAAGGCCCCCGGAGTTTGGGTTCAGACAGATGAGGGAGTTCAGGGAGAGATGAGCGACTGCGAGTGTGTGTGTGTGTGTCTGAGAGCGGTTCAGTCAGAGAGAGGGAAGGAAACTTATACCCTCTCACTCTCACAGCAGGCCTGGCTGCAGGTAGTTCAGCATGATAGCGCACACAAGGCAGACACATCAATTCACAAAAGCTCAGCTGGGGAGAAGTCCCTGCATCTGACATCATTTGCCAACAAAACGTCCAGCTTCATTTTTATAAAGAGGCTATATTTCTGGGAAACAGCGAGAAACAACAGCAAGCGGTGCTGGCAGATGTGATGAATTCACCGGGCATAACACAATTCATTTTTTTTTAAAAACACGTTAACAATTACTTCAGATTAACTCCAGATATATCTTATTCAGTCAGCAACATTAATCCATCACCGTGAACAAGAAGCTGTTCTACAACACTGTCGCTGCTGCAGAAAACACTGAAGGCAAAACAAGGAACCAGTGGAAACTTCAGATCACACTGGTGCTTCAGTTCCTGTGTGCGTGCAGATATTTCTGCTTGCTATTTGCTCGCCATTATAATGCTAAATCCTTAGACTCGCAGCAGCTGGGGCTTGGCAACTGCTCAGCCTTCTTATACACTGCTGACATCCATGAAGGCAATTCTTCAATGAGCTGACATCTCTCTCCCTCCCTGCAGCCCAACATCATGCTGAAAAAGATCTGCCTGGAACAGAGCGGCCCGATGGTGAACAAAACTCAAGTGAAAGGGGGTGGAGGAGGCGGCGGTGGGGCGACATATGTGTTCAAGGTGAGACGGACGCACTCGATATATGTACACCTGCTATTTATTTCAGCTTATTTAGGAGCTGCACATAATTTATGCAGATGTTGTTTTGTACGATATTTGAGTAAAACATATTACAGTGCAGATTTCTGGGCTACTGTCATGTTGTCAGCTCACTGTGCCATTCAAGTGATTCCAGTTACTGAGATAATATTTTTTTTGGCCTGCTGTCACTCAGAATATCAAAGATCATGAAGCTCTAAAGCCAAGAATCCACCAAGGGCACATGACTTTTTCTTTTTTTTTTTTTGCGTCTTTACACTCATCCTTGAACAGATAAGCTGACCAAAAGGCCAATCTTCTTTAAACCAAAGGATTTCTTTAAAGGAATACTCTGACATTTTGGGGAATATGCTTTCTTGCCAGGAGTTAGATGAGAAAGCTGATACCACACCTATGTCTGCACTGTACACATGGAGCAACCACCAGTTCAGCTTTAACATAAAAGCTAGAAGGTTAAATTGCTGGTCTGGTTCCATCTGATGGAGCAAAATTCACCTGCCACCTTGCTAAAACTCAAATATTAATCTCTACTTTGTTTAGAATAGTGTGAATAGTGTGGGTATAAGATGTAAACAGGTCAGGTCTAATAGTTAATCTGTAGCTTGTGGAGCTTCAGTGTTGGTAAGACCAGTGGACACTAGCAGAAAAAATGTTGTACATGTTGAGTGTAATTTTTCTTATAATTTTGTAAAACAGCAAAGAAATCAAGCTTCTTTATTTTTTATTTCTTTGCAATGTAAAACAATGTAACTGTGTCAAACTGCATAAAATGTATGTTTGGGTTCTCTTTACTTCTAGCCATGGTTGTGTTGTTTCCATAGAGGTGCCGGATGTTATGTCACAGTATTAAATCAGCGTACAGTGGGTATAAATGTAAAAGGAGCAACAACAACAACAAAAAAAAGCCCAGAAACTGGTGGAGGGTTAAAAAAAAAAAAAATCCTATCTCCCAAAATGGTGAGCTTATCCTTTGAAGAGTGTATGCTGCAGCACTGCACAAACCTAACTGTTGGCTCTGCTGACCCAGGTGGATGGAGACGTGTCCATCCCTCTAATCATCGCTGCTGGGGGAGGTGGGCGGGGCTACAGCAGCCAATCACTGAACCAGCTGGAGCAGATGGACTATAACCCCAGCCAACCGGGACGCAACGGGAAGTCGCACGCTGCAGGTACGCCACAGTCAAGCTTTGATGTGCTTGTATGTATGAGAGCCGTGTGCCTGTGATTGTGAGGGAACAGAACATACTCAGTGTTTGTTGTGTGTTTGAGGTAGAAACAGTCTACGGAGTGACTATGAGCTATAGAGAACAAGATAAAAAATGGCTGAAGTGATGAGAGCAGATGAGCAGTGCAGTGCGGTTGTGTAGTGCGTATGGGCTTATCTTTCCCCACTTTAGGATGAGAAAGGCTTTGTCTCGGTTCCATCGCATCCCTTTCACTCTCTCCCTGCGCGCTCTCACTCCGTTCATGTGAAGGGGGCCGCCACATTAAGTGCCAATCCAAACCGACCAGCATTAAGTGCGAGTGGGTAATAAAGCCCTTCAACACCGAGTCTGCATCAATCCAAGTGCCCCTGTTTTGTGTCCAGAATGGAGCAAAGTCCTCGCAAACCCCACACACGAGCTGGATCTTTCAGGAGGAGTGCCTCAGTAATAAATGAAATGGCTTTTGTGATCAAGTAAAATAGATATTGACAGTGATTCATGTTTGAAGGCAAAAAACTACAGAGTAATGTTTTGTTGCATTCAGTGCAAATAAATATAAATGCACATTTTGCCAGAGGAAGAAAACTTGAGTTATCCCTAAAGCCTCAATGCTTAAAGAACCTGTGAGTCTTTTCATGTACTTGAACGGTAAACACGATTTCTCAAAATATCATAATAAAACATAAAAGCTCAAGGTACGCAGTTCATGGTAAAAGTACTGTTAGCTTATTTGTTCTCTGTACTATAAGTGGCAAAGTGAAATTCTGTTTATCAGAATTAATCAGCTGGTAAGCACCTCTGCTTTTGAAAAGTGTTTTTAGTGTTGTTATTGTTATACAGGCAATAATAAAGAACAAGAAAGCAGATTTGAAATAAGATAAGTAAGAGCATTTCAACACATGTTTTATCGTCGGTGTTGAATGCGACAGATTCCTCAGGAGGTGAAAACAACACGTGATCCTAAACTCACTCTCCTGTTGTTGAGTTAACTCCTAAAAACTCATCTCTCTCTTTCAAAGTTGCTAATTTATACATTTTTTTCTATAAAAAATAACCTCATTATGCACTAAAATGGCTTAGATGCACTTCTGCACCACTGTTTCCTCGAAAATGTGCAGATCTAAACAAACATCCCTCCCCGCTCGCTGCAGCAGGAGCACACCAGCTCACTCACGAGTCCACTTTAAAATTACACAAGTCGTAATCCTGGAGTAATTCAGCCATACAGATTCAAACCAGAAACCAGCTCGGGAGCATAATGATACAGAAAACTCCACCCTGCAAGCTGGCAGGATCAGTTCCTCAGATTTGTTATGTATCTTTGTATGAAACTCCGGAAGTCTGAATCCATGTTTTTCAGACTGCCGTCGGTTCACCGTGGTTTCAAGGTGAAAAAATGGCATTTACTGCTCATTTGCTCATGATGTATAATCCATATAAAAAGACAACATATAGACATGTGGGGAAATAAATAAATAAAAAATGCTCACTGGACAAGGTTTTTACCTCACATAGGGTCACAGTATAAATCATCACAGGTGCTGAATTGCAGTTCATGTTTCTGTCAAAGAAAGGTGAGAGCTTCCCAAAGCTAGCCGCTGTATTTCTACCCTAACCTTTAATTAAGAAACGCTCCACAGTGGCGAGAGTGACTCCGCACGCGGTGACGGATTGAGAGGGTGGAGGTGCTGGAATGGAAGAGGGCTTTTGTGAATTCCGTGTATTCCCTCTGCATGCACGTATAGAAATAATACAGATGGAATTTATAGTCGAAGTGTTTGTTTGTACGTCTTCCTACACTTAAACACACGGGTTCAACCTGAAGCTGTTTACTTCGTTCTTAATGCATGTTTCATAAATGTTCCACCTTTGTGCGCTGGTATTTTCGCTTTAGTAAAAACAAAGCACAGAGTGGCCCTCCTCATGATTATTCATACTGTGCACTTTGTCTCCCTTCATTGCCGGGCAGATCTGCACTCCACCAGTGTAACGATACATCCGTGCCCACTGCAGGTTTCATTATATTCAGGTGCCTGAAGCTGCAGCCCCCTGAAAAACATGTTGATTCTAACATCTTCTCAAAGGCCATGGTTTTACTTTTGAGGGAACATTGCAAATAAAAAAAATGAAATATTAAGCATGTCTGGGGGAAGTGGGGTTGCTAGTGTGGGGATGTGTTGTTTTTTGTGCATCGCCCAGGTTTTAGTGGAGAAGGAGGAACATGAAATGGGAAAATTAAATTGGCGAGTGTTGAGGAATATGGGAGGGATTAGTTTTAACTTCATTACCTATAAATTTAATCTCACGTTACCAGGTCTCTTTTAAGGGATTTTTATATTTTGTGGTCCCTGCTGTAGCCAGTGTGCTATCACTAATAGGGGATTGGAGTGCATGTGTGTGTTTGTGTGTGTGTGTGTGTTCTTGATATGTGTTAGTCTGTTTGCCCGTAGACATGCACAGTATTGTTTTTTCCCCTCATCTAAGACTTTCTCACATCTCTGTCTCACACACTGATTCACTCCACGTTATTACACAAATCAAATGTGTTGGGCGACAGGTGGAGGCGGAGGTTGGAATGACAGCGCTCCTGTCAGTCAGGGCGGCCGACCGCTGGTGCTGGGGGGCCAGGGAGGGCAGGCCTGTCAAAAGTTCTGGCAGACCCGCGGCGGCTTCGGGGGCGGCGGGGGTGGCTGTATAGCCGGTGGCGGCGGCGGAGGCTACAGAGGTTAGTCCATGAAGATTTCCCACGTTTTTTAAAAAAAATAAATAAATGGCCCTGAGCTGTCAGGTGTGAGCCAAATGTACATCTTGTTATGCCATCTGCGTTTTATACTGAATGTGACCTGGTGACAGAGCTTATACTGAACAGGGATCACACTGAATCCCAGAGACAGCTGCATGTCCTCCACACCTAACTGCTCCATCAGCTGGATTGGACATTACTTTCCCCAGACAATAACAATATCAGAATATACGACCTTATACCTCCTTGTACTTAGTGTGCATCAGTAAGCAGTGTGTTTGCTCTTTCATATAATATTTGATGATATCTGGTAAGAAACTGAGCTGTTACAGTGGTGGGCAGTACAAAAAACAAGACCGAGCCTAGTTTAAATAATGGAAATGTAATTAACCCTGTAACACAAAGTCTAATATATTTATTATATGAGTTTTTGAGACTTCTCTGTGTCATCAGTGTGCTATTTTTTTCCTGAAAAACCCGATGCACACAATCAGACGCATTCAGTGCACGGATGAGCCACCATGGATCGTAATTCATGCACCAAAAATGCCAGATGTCAGGTGCTGCTATAGCTCACCTGGTTGAGCTGGCGTCCCATATAGAGGTGCTATAGTCCCCGATGTGGAGGTCATGAGTTTGAATCTCGCTCATGGCCCTTTCCCACATGTCCTCTCCCTGACTTTCTTGTCTCTTCTCAACTGCACTGTCAAATAAAGACAAAAGGGCCAAAAAACATAACTTTAATGAAATAAAAAAATGTCAGATATAGCAAAAATGATTCAAATCAAAACTCCTTTGTGAAAATTGCTATATTTTCATTTTCTTTTTTTTCTTAAATTTGTCAGAATGTTCAATAAACATTTCATTTAAAAAATGGCAATTATTTCATGGTTCAGGCTTTACAGGGTTAACAATAAAGTACTTTAGGTGGGAAGCAAGTAACTGCTACATTAACAATCAATGGCAAACACAAAGATAAAAAAAAAAAAAAGCTTGATGTGAATACAAACAGATGCATGAAGCACAATGGGAGGACAATCAGACTGCCTGGCATTACAGCAGATGATAAAACCACAAAGTCCTTTGTGTCCAATCCAGTCCTTGTGCTCTTGTCTGGATTATATGTGAACTGAGCTCTTACATGCTTTTCCCCAATTAGCACTATAAAGATACCACGTGTTCATTTGAGGTTTTGTCACTGTTGACTGTGCTGTTGTGTTTCCCGTCCTTGTTTCTAGGTGGTAACACCTCCATAGATAATAACCCCAAACATGATGGTGACGACGGCACGTCCTTCCTCAGCCCAGAGGGAGAACTCTTCCTCTATCCTCTGAAAGGTAATGTCACGATTTCTAGGCTGTGTTTCAAAATACAGGTGAAGCTGTTAGCAGTCAACACCGGCTATCAATAAATTAGTATGCAGCATTTAATACCTGCGATAGTGTTTGTAGATGAGGGTTAGTGTGTTTGTACTTCCCAGAATGATCAGAAAAACTGACATTTTAAATTATTTTTGCTGTGGTACATCTGGATTAATTAGATTCCACTGGGAAATATATAATAGAAACACAAATAAATAACTGTACAGTAAGACGAGGTTGGCTCAGTCTGTGGCGTCTTCTTTGTTAAAATGTACAGCAGTTCATTCTAACCGAAGACTGCAGAACAAATTGATGGAGAGGATGAACGGATCAGTAAATTCCTCCAGTGGAAACCTGTTGATCCACGTCCGCTCTGTTCTTTTGAAGCTAACAAGCACTAAAAAACACCATCTTGACTGGAAGTTTCAGCTGCAGTGATAAGCTTGTTGACTGGTCATACATCATCCCAGACTCCCACTTCACTGAGCTCTACAGAGAAGTACGAAAAGGAGGAGTAGGAAATAGACTTTGAAGAGGGTTTTCAAATAGTTTTTGGACTGTAGAAAAGTTTGCATCTACATCTCTCTTTCATGGAACTTTGATAGAAGTGATTCTGTATTATGAGGCGATACCTCTTTCAAACGCTGTAGTCCTCAATATGTTATCAGCCTTATTTCATTTTCTCTGTGAATAGCTGTAAATAAGAGGAAATCTTTTTTTTTTTTGTCCCAACTGTACACAATTCTTCTTTTTTTAAAAAACCAGATATAATCTTCATTCCTTTCTATTTTCAACACTTGCTATGCAAAAAGAGAAGGACGATTCATTAGATAGGTTTTATTATTGTTGGTGTTATCTATCGTTTGCCTTAGGATTTAATTATAGCTCTGATCAAGTCACCAATGAATGTACTATATAAATACTATAGATGTACTTTTTAAGCATTACCTAGACTAAGTTAGCACCTACAGTTACTATGGTTTTGTTACCTCACAATAATTATGATACGATATCTACCAGATCATTACATCTTTAACATCTAACAGTTATCATCTCTGTAGTCACATCTATCAACAGATCTTTATCAGACTTTAAACTGTTCGTTTCTTGGAACCACTGCTACAAACATTTTAATGATATAGATGAAAAAAGAGAAACTGACTCATTGTACTATGCCTATAAAACATATATACCCACTTATTTTCCTCTTATATTGCTTTTCAACATTGAATCATGGTCAATATAATTCATCTTTTTTGGTATTAATTTACAAAAATGACTATTACATGCCAAAATAAGAACTGTTTTCTACAAATGAAAGCCAAATAATTTAAGATATAAAAGGTAAAATCGTCCTTGCACATCTGGACACTGCAGTTTTTACCCTAGATTGAGGTCTGGGCTCAGATTTGGCCATTCCAGAGCATTCGCCTTGTTATCTTTAAACTGTTTGTGTATGTATTGTGCTGTATGCTTTGGATCATTCTCTTGCTGGAAAACAAATGTTCTTCTAAGTCGCCGTGCTTTGCAGCCTGCACCAGGCTGTCCTCTAGGACTTCTCTGTACTTTGCTGCATTATTTTACACGATACCTTTACAAGCGTTCCGGGGTGTGCTGCAGAGAAGCATCCCCACATCATGGTGCTGCCACCACCATGCTTCACCATCCAGATGGTGTGTTTGTGATGATGTACAGTGTTTGGTGTCCGCCAAACACAGCATCTTGTATGATGGCCAGAAAGCTTAATTTGAGTCTCATTAGACCAAAGAACCTTTTTTCAATTGACTCCAGAGTCTCCCACTTGCCTTCTGGAGAACTTTAGTCTAGATTTAATATAAGCTTTATTTTACAGGGCTTTCTCTTTGCCACTCTACCAAAAAGCTTTGACAGGTAAAGAACAGTAACACAGGTGTCTTTGTGGCCTCCCTCACTAATCTATTTCTTGCAAGGTCACTCAGTGTTTGATGACAGCCTGCTCCAGGCAAATTTACTCATTTGCCATAATCCTTTCACTTTTTAATGATGGATTTAACTGTACTCTAGGGGATACTCAGTGACTTGAAAATGTTCTTGTATGCATCTGCTAATTTAAGCTTTTCAATAACCTTTTCACAAAGTATCTTGGAGTGTTCTTTTGGCTTCATGATGCGGTTTTAGTCAGGAGCACTGATTTACCAGTGACTAGACCTGCCACTTACACATTTTTTTTGTACTGTAATCTCTTGAGAAACAGTCACTACACTCAGATGATTTCCATTTCACAAACTGTGTGACACTAGCACCAACTGGCTGCCCCTGTGTTGGATGAGTTGTGTTACTTTAAAGGGTGTGAATACATACGCAATCACCTATTTTACATTTTGTATTTGGAATCAAATTACTTTGTAGAAGTTCGTTTTTAACTTTGACACGAAAGTGTCTTTATTTGCCGTATTAAATTGACCTGGACTCAGTGTTGAAACGCAATAAAAGGAGGACACGTCCAAGGGAGGGGAATATTTTTTATAGACACTACATTGCAAGTAAATTACCCAAAATGTCTATATCATTATTGTAATATGGAAAATGGCATTTTGTCTTGTAATATCTGTGATTAGATAACTTAAAAGAATATAATCTGTGTAAAGGTCAGGTTTAGGAGCATTTGTGGCTAGAAGTTGTAATCATAAACGGCTATGCCAGCAATTTCCTTCTCAGTTTGAGCTGCAATGGGCGATTCTCGAGCTCAAATAAAAACAGTAGGTGATTCAGGATGGCCTGGCTGTGTGCAGTCAAAGACATAAAAAGGGATCAAAAATCATATCAGTAATGTTGACGGAGGCAACCAGTTTGCAATGCAGGTCCCTTCACACAATACAGAATGTTTCAAAAGCTGAATGACACACTTAGGGCGACACAGTCATCCCATCATATTGCCACTAGATGCGGGTAGGGACTGAAGAAAACATGCATGTTATTAGAAACCACGAGAGCTTCAGTGAAACTCATTTGATTTACCAGGAGGGAGGAGAAAATGCAGTTTTTCATATAAAGGGTCGAAGCTTGAGAGAATGAAATTACTCATAGGAATTCTTGTTGTGGTAGTGGAAAAACTGTCGTCAATTATTTCATTAAACTAAATCAGATGTGCAGACATCATGTCCTAGACACATTTGTAAAATTCAGCAGAGGAGCCATCACTGCACCCTCTTCACTCGAGCAGAAAAGCAACATGAAGGAGGACTCAGCACCACTGGGTTTAAAAGATCCACAATACAGAGTATCACACCTTCATATTAGTATGCAGTCAGCAGCAGCATTCAAGACATTTGTATTCTTCCTTGGAAACCTTTCCAGTGTTTCTGGGTTGGATTTATGTATTTGTACTTATAAAGCTGATAACAGAATGATGAGAGAAAATAGATTCTGCAGATGAGTGCATTTGCTTTGCTTACTAAACAGTGGAGCTTTCACGGACGGCCCATAACTAATTCATGTTAGACTGCTTTGTCCCTGCGTGCTGTAGTTTACAATTAACAGAATTGGGTTCTTTAAATCTAGATAGAATAAATGATGTCGTAAAATCTATTTAAAAGTATTTATGGCGATAAGTTGTCGCGCCATAGAGGGCAGAGAGTTTGCAGATTTTTTTTTTTTTTTTCCCCAGCCAAGGACCACAGCAGATGGTTTTTCTGATTAGCACACCTCCACTCAGAATCAGTAAATTCATCTAGTTTAAGGTAAGATTAGGCTGTAATGAAGTGCAGCAAAACAACCAATCCAGCTTTATGTGTTTCATACAGAGGTTTGCACTAGCCGGGCAGTAAAGATACCCAATGCAATTAACCCTCTGAATCCCAAGCAGTTTCTGGCAGTTTATTTGATACCGTCATGTTTTTACCCACTGTGGGCTCACTTTACACTGAAATATAGAGTACTGCACCTCTGTGGAAACAGCACAACAAGGGAACACAGCAGAGAGGACTCAAACAGGCCTTTTGAGCAGCATAACAATCTTAGAATGCCATAAAATACACTGTAAAAAAAAAACTGGCTCTACACACTATAGATTTACTACTAATATGTTTTATTTGTCTCATGCTTGTCTATCTGCTCTGTTTAGGCACACAGTCTGTAGTTCAGCTAAAAAGTTACTGAATGTTTGTCAGTTTTTTTGTCAGTCATAGCTTCTTCGTTGTGAGAGGGAGCACAGACTTTAAAAAAAAAAAAATTGTACAGAATTTAGTTACTGCAAACAGCTTACTGTTGGCAAATTATTAAATGAGACATATGAAGTGCTTCTGATGAAATATCAAGTTTCCCAAAGGAACCAGAATTCACACAGTTTGTTCACAGACTGTTAAAAGGAAAAAAATCTGACAATATGTTATGTTTTTACAGTTTCCTGCTCTGATAAAACTTGTCATTTTGGCATTTTTTTAAAATGATAGCATGTCTTTCACACCTGGCAGTGGGTTCGGGGGTTCAGAGGGTTAAATAAGTGTAATGTGAACAGTTACACTTTGGCGATAAACCTATTGGTCATAAATAGAAATCATAGAACAGAATGTCTCATGACAAGGTTTAACTCAGTGTTCATGTGCAGGTGAAATGCTTATCGGGGATTATATTGTATATATTTGTCTAACATGAATAGTGATTGACTCCCCCAGACCCAATGTAAGACATATGCATACGATAGCTGTGATGGAATTCTGTCTTTAATGGATTCAGTTGATAAACTAGGTATCACATCCACACTAATCATGCATTATCTATAAATACAAAGCTCCCTACTGCACTATAAACCAGGGCTTCTCAAGCACAACCACCCACATGGCAGTGGGAATGTGAAAACATCAGATAGTCAAAACAAATACCAACCAAACCAAATTCAATACCGAAAGCATTGATCAAATAAATGCATTTCAAAATAAAGTTTTATCTATAAAAGCCTCTTGTTCAACAAATCAGCATTTGTCTTCTTTGAATTTAACCAATCAGTGTTGAGATGTACCTGCCCTGCAGTAGGTCCTTTTCCTCCTCTAAAACAGTCATGAAAGAGGATCTACAGGGGCAGTTCCTGCAGTCAGAACACGCTCAAAGGTTCAGGGCTGCCCTGAATCGGCCTGCATCTTCCTGCAGTGAAAAATGGCCAAGAGAAAAACAAGTTCCATCACTTTGGCAGCAAACCTCAATTTGTTAACTTTAATTCAAGACGCACATTTGGACATCAGATGGAGTTGTCTTTTTTTTTTCCTGAAACATGAAGGTTGTAAGGTCTTGGAGGGACATTTGTAGATCATTTGATTGTTGTTAACATCACTCTGATCTAGTATGTGTTATATAAGTAGGTAGACCATGTGCTGGATGATGATGATGGGGAGAAAACATAGGAAAGTACCCTCATACATTCTTTAATTAGGAATATTTCCAGTAAATTACATTAGTGTGTTAGTGAACTTTTGCTCGTGTTACCAGGAGACATCCTGGAGATGTCTAATCAAATCCTATTCGTTTTGGAAACCCTCTTTTCTGTCCCCTGTGTGTGTGTCTATGTGTGTGCTTGTGCGGATGCCTGAAGCTATGGAAGGGAACGGTGAGGTGATCATCAGCCCGGAGCAGAACTGCAGCCACTGTGAAAGCGGCGAATGCCACGAGACCAAGGCTGCCATCATCTGCTACTGCGATCATGACCTCATCCTGGCACCAGACGGAGTGTCCTGCGTCAACACTACAAGTATGACTTATTTTATTATGCACTCTGCAGCATGTGTGATGAAGAACCATTGTCCATTCCTCTCTCTTGCACACAAATACGTGAAACTAATCCAAACGTAGGAATGAGTTGAGCTAAATGTAATTGTACCTGTAATTGACTGTGACTCAGAGAATAGATAATGAATTAATCTGCGTAATTAAGCCTGGGAGGCTCTGTACTCTATTGAATCTTTATCTAAGGAAATGTTTTTTTAATAGTGCTTTAATCATTCATAATAATTATCAATAAGGAGGATAAGCTAACCTGTTAATGAAAATGAATAGAACTCCAGCGGTATTATCTGTGTGGATTCTTGGCCTGTGATTTGCAATTTACCTCCGTGCCACAGCCACATAGAAGCTCTTTATCTTAGGATAAAAGGTTCCACCTGGATACTGATGTCATGACATTATACAGTGGATTTTAAATGCATTTTATAATGGCTTTAATGAGCCTCAGTTCATGCAGCTGGCTTTGCCTAGTCGCCCATGTCAACGTTACCTAAAAATCCGTTTTCAGAGCGCACAGTGTCTCCATTCTGGGTTAAACTGTGACAAAGGAACGTAGACAAACCCCAGCGGAGTGAGAATTGCCTCTTCAGTTATGATTTGTAATCTTAGATGAATAATACATTTATGAATGTAGATCTGAAAATGAATTAATATGGCAGAGTGTCACTTCATAATTTGAAGCAAAATAACAGGGCTATTACCATCTCAATGATATCTTAATGACCTAGAGCCTCTCCTTGCCCTATGGTTTGCAAATCTGTTCTCAGTAACGACAAGCAGTAGATAATTATATGATGCTAGGTCATAAAAGGTCACAATCTCAATATGGTCTCTCTCAGTGTCCAGATTTGTTCCTCAGCTTAGACAAGTAAAATGAGATCCCCCACCCCCACCCCTCCTTCACCACCGAAAAGGAATTGACATGCACCAGCCGTCGCTGCTCCTAAGCTCTGTTGTGTCATCGCTTTCACATCATTAATTAAGTTGGGGATCAGAGTGGCGAAGTGAATGTTAATACTCCTTTGGGGAAGATAACAACTGTACAACACTGTTGTTTCCCCTTGTCTTGCAGAAGTGTCCACGATGCCTCCACAGCCGTCCCTCTCCCACCTGGCGCTGGGTCTGTCTGTGGGCACCTCGGCCCTCATCGCCGCCCTGCTGCTGGCTGTGTCAGGAGTCATGATAAGTAAGAGTCAGCACACCTCACAATGTATCACACTGGCACTATATATACAACATTTGGCTCCATCCAGTCAGGGCTTCACACTGCAGATATGATTGTGGAGAATGAACCATTTAACTGAATTTCGATGAAAATTTCTGTGTACTAAATAACGGCACAAATTGGCAAGTATCTAGTTTCACAAGTGAGCTTCAAAACCCATCATCAGTCCAACTGCACACACTGTTTTGCCGGATGGACTCACTGTAATGCCACATTAACTATATTTCAGCCTTTTAAATGAAAACACATGTTTTAATACTTGTCTTGGCAGCTGAATTTTACAGTTTCAAGCAGATCAATGGCAAGGTAGCTGATTACAAAGTTAAATGAGCACATTCAATGGAAATATGTCAGTTTAGAGATGTGTTTCTAGAGAGTGTTGACCCGACAAACAAAGCACTGTGTGCCCGAATGATCCTCCCCCCCGAACTGCCACCTTATCGTGGTGGGGGAGTTTGTGTGCCCGAATGATCCTAGGAGCTATGTTGTCCGGGGCTTCATGCCCCTGGTAGGGTCACCCAAGGCAAACAGGTCCTAGGCGACGGGACTTTGATAAAAATGAACTTTGCATTTTGATGAAATTTGTATACATTTACCATTTATCATTAGTCTCTGTTGGGGTCACAGCGTTATTTATTATAGAGGAGAACATGGGTGCTCCCTTGTTTACTCGCTCACTATTCCCAGCTTTACATAACAGACAGACAGTAATGTAGTGAGCACATTCATCAATCATTGTAGTTTTGCGTCACCGTTGATGTAAAGTGACACGGCATGCGACGGTACCGCAGTGCTGTGTTACATTTTACAGATTGCATAATGGGACTGTTAGCAGAAAGAGTATCAGAGAGAGAGAGAGGAGAAATAATCTCTTCCCTTATATTATTATATACAACAGCTGCACAATATTGGTAAAAAATGACTTTGCAATATTTCTGTTTTTCTGCAATATATATTGTGATATGAAAAACTCAGTAAATACAACCTGGGTGTAACTTACCAACTGCATATCCCATCTGTGACCAAACCACTGCAGCCTGGTCCACGTATTCAAGGCAGCAGCCCTCTTTCTGTTCCCTACATTGTATGCTGAGAACAATAAGTGCGTATTGCCTCGTAGACCGTGTTTTTAACCCCTCTTAATTGGTACCATGTCTTTCGCGAGGTGAAAAGTTATTGCATCAGTGATGTCTCTCTGCCACTTGAAAACCTTTCTCATATGGTGTAACACTCACAAAGACATCCCAAATAGTTTTCTTTTTGCATTGGATGACATTCAAATCTGACTTTGCGCTGATCATACAGAGCTTTGTGCTGCCGATTTCAATGGTCAGAAAAGTTAGTCGCGTTGCCTCATGCGCTGGCAACAACTGAAAGACCCAGCCGACAGAAAACCCGTTTTTGGTTGACGTCATCCTTCCAGATTTTCCTTTTCGGTGTTTCTCTCCTGTTCCTCGCTTATTTTGCAGTGCAAACGTGGAGCCTGCATGTTAACAAACTTCGTCTTCTTAGATAAAAAGGACGTCGGGTATCCAAAAAAGTAAATAATGTTTTGTCTGAGAGCCATCCCTCTTCATAGATTAGTCATGGAAAATGAGAACTGTACCAGCTTTCTTTTTGTAGCAAGAAAATCACACAATTCACATGTGGATATCACAATGACGATGCTGAAAGGACATAATGTGCAGCCCATTATACAGTATTATAATAATAATGTGTATTTAGACACAAAGTGGGGAAAACATGTTGTTGTTACCGACCATCAAGAACCAAACTGTGCTGCTAAATGTCTAAGAGGTTCACATCACATGAGTCCTCTTGCCTTTGGTCTTCTGTTTGCACAATAGACACACATCCTCTGTATTACACACACAAAGATCTCCAGTGTCTGTCCTGGCCCCTCTCAGACAGCCCTCACCAATCTGTTGTCAGAATGGAAAGTGAGCTTCACGACCAGCACAGAGATCCGTCTGCCTGCCTGCCTGCCTGCCTGCCTGCTTTCAGGCTATTACAGCCAGACATATGCACTCATTGAGCCATCATCTCTTCCACGCACACCCCCGCTCAATCTCACACTTGCAGACCGATGCATATATCCAGACTCCCACCTACACTCCTGCGCACACATTAGCAGATGAGGCGGGGGCAGATGAGGTGTGGGACTACCTTTGTGATGAATGAAACGTGCTAATGATGGATGGCTGCTTAGCCTGCAGCTGACAGCACTCGTACATTAGCCAGCACTTGGTAAATAAATAACTCCCTCGCACACACATAAGCATCCACACGAAAATACTCACACACATAATTTTTCCTGAGACTAATATGCTCACAGCCCAGGTCAAGGCTTCTAGCACTAAAAAGTATGAGGTTATCTGTATAACAAAGAAAAAGCTGAGCCTCCATACAGTGGGTTGTTCTGCATGACATGCATATATTTGCAATATTTAGGAAGAAGCTTTAAGCTGTCTTGCTTTGGGGCTTTGCTTCCATCTTTGTTTATGCAATATACATGTGTTTGTGTATTGAATGTGCACATTCACAAAACGGATTCAAATGCCGAAGGTTTCATTCTAAAACACAATATATCTGAATACAAAGAAATCTGGCATCAGAAAGAAAAAAAATCAATATTTCACAGACACAAAAACGGATTCAATTTTATAACGATTCCTGTTGTACAAGCATGTGGTCTTCAGAGAAATAATACTTTAAAAGCTTTCCACTTTGTGTGCTTTGCCTGCCAGCAATCATTTTCTACAAGGAGATGGGTTCAAGGTTTTTGTTTGTTTTTTAAGCTGTGGATATCTCAGTTGTGGAATGAGACACCTCTTTCTTTTTCACCTCGCCAGTGTACAGGCGGAAACACACAGAGCTGCAGTCTATTCAGCTGGAGCTGCAGAGTCCCGACTGCAAGCTCAGCAAGCTGCGGGCCTCCACCATCATGACAGACTACAACCCCAACTACTGCTTCGCCGGCAAGACGGCCTCAGTCAACGACCTGAAGGAGGTGTCGCGCCGAAACATTTCTCTCACCAGGTAAAAGATTCCTCAGTCCTGTTATTCCGGCAAGCAATTACTGATTCAACGATAACAATAGCTGAACAAACAGCGAATCCAGACTTCACAGCTGTTTACAAAAATCCACTTGTACAAACAGTGTAAATATAATGCTCCAACACGCCTTGAGAGGTATCAGTTTGAAATAAAATCCAAGCAACAAGAGAAAATGTGTTTTTTCTGGGATTTCTTCAAATTTTAATGTATTTTTGTGAGACAGTTTTCATAATTTTGTCTCTATATGCCACCACAATGGATCTGAAATCAAGATTAAAGTATAGACACTCAGCTTTAATTCAAACTGTACCTTTTTCAGTCTTCATAAGTGTAAAATTCCACACTAACCTTTCAGTATATTACAACTCAAGTGGCCTTAGAGGAACTCGACATCTGTATGTCCTCTTGGTTCTGTTTTCAAAATTTTGCTCCTAATGGGAGATTTTGGCCAGGTGACAGCAGGATGTGGTTGTACAGCGCATTCGACGGAGAACTTTCAGTCATGAGAGCAGTGTTTAGGTGCTGTGTGAAGTGACAAGAAGATGCTAACTTTCAGCTTGACTATTTTGTGTATATCTGAGGGATTTAGAACTAGAGAGCTATAGGAGTAAAAGCTGCAGGAGGAGGTCTATGTTTTCAAATTATGGCATTTTTTTAAAACCTTTGTCAAGATTTTTCCTTATCACAGCTTTAGGAATTACAGTCATTGTTTTGCATAGACTTTCCACACGCTCAAATGTAAGTCTACAGTTTTACGGTCAGCTGTGGCCTCGTTATTTCATGACAAAGTAAAGAGATAAAAGGTCTCTAGTTGATGTCAGGTGCTGAATTTGCATTTGGTAGCTGCTGTCAGGGAACTCTCAATGTGTGGTCCAAAGATGTGTCGATCTAAGTGAAGAAGGGCATCGTTAGGCTGAAAACATCTCAAAAAGTTCTGCAACACCAAAAGGACTGAACAACCAGGAAGGGCAACTAAAGTGGATGATTGCAGAATTCTTTTGTTGGTGAAGAACAACACCTTTACAACATCCAGCCAAGTCAAGAATACTCTCAAGGAGGTTGGCATAAAATTGATTCATTTACTGAAGACAAGACTGAGAGCAGAAAGACTCACAAACTGAAAGCAGCTGCAGTAAAACACCTCAAGGGAGGAAACTCAGCACTTGGTCATGTCCATGGATTCCTGACTTCAGGCACTCATTAGGCTGCATCCGAGAATTAAAAAGAAATCATTCAATTTATCATTAATGTAGTTTGATGTATTACTGTTGAACCTGTGAAAATGGAGGGACTATGTTTGTTAAACCTCTTGAATGAAAGCTGAATTCCTACACATCAAGGTAGAATTACAAAATTGCAAATTGTTTGGACCCGAGTTTAGTTTAACAATTAATAATTTAGATTCTTAATCACTGTGATCATTTCTGATGCCATGAATACTTTGTCAAGTACTTGCATAAATTGGAGTTGTCCAAGTCTTCAGATAAAACTGATCTAAAGGTAAAAACTGTAATTTGGCATCAAAGTTTGCTATTCGACACTTTCACATCTGCAATAGACTGTCACAAGGAGGAAACTGTTTGCTTTTGTGAGCTGAAAAGCTGAGGAAAAGCTCATTTAAACTATTGATTAGTAAGTCAGCCATCTTGTTTAAAAGAAATCATTCCTTTTGATTTTCTCCATGGCTCTCATTCCTTTACTCAGCCCTTATAGCTCCACCGGTGATCATTGTCTGGACAACGAGATATTCGGGACTACTGTTTGTTTCAAATGTCTTCAGTTTCCATTGTTTGAGTGTTTCTGTGTGGAAGTTTCAGCTTAATCCCTAAAACATGATGTACCATTAAATAATAGATGTGTCTGCTGGTCTGCAGGGGTCTGGGTCATGGTGCTTTTGGTGAGGTCTATGAAGGTCTGGCAGTGGGGATACCAGGTGAACCAAGTCCACTGCAAGTGGCAGTCAAGGTCAGTCTCAGTCTGAAACAATAACTTTTCTCAAAGCTCAGACTTTGATTGAATCAAATCAGATTTGTAGGCACTTCTAAAGTAATTACACACCATCTTTTTCTTCAGATCATGAAGTTGAAGTAAGTTTTTCTTGTGCAGAAAGGGGCTTTGTAACAAAAATACTCCATCACTCCTTTTCACAGCCTTATGTTCGGCTTCAAAGAGAAGTGCATCAGGCTCCACATAGAAAACCTGAGAATTGTATTATATATACAATTTATAACTGTGGAAGTTATAACT